ATAATCCCCAACGTCACATTGGCCAACCTGCAGCTCCCCGTGGGGAAAACAGCCTCCAAGGCATCCCGGATCACGGCCATAACTCCATCAGCTAATGGCGGCCAAGAAACCTTGACGGACATGTCTCCACGATCAGGGCTTCCAAAAGAAAGGAGAAGTCCGAAGTCCCTTCGGCCACTATCCATTCTTGATCATTTCTCCTTTCCCTCCGATAGTCAGCTGGCGAGTTGACTTGCAACTTGCTCACAAAGCAGTGCAACCCTCACGCGCCAGAGTAGCACCAAGCACATGCTCGGAGGGGTTCTCTGTAGTTTGCGAAGTTCTGTACACTCAGAACACTACCTGGCGGTAGGACGATATATATCACAGACGGGTCCCCGACAGGAAAACCCAAGTGAGAACCACGCAGACCTACAGTTCAGTCTCTGGCTACCCATCACCTGCCTCAAGTTGTGCCAAGTCCAGGGCCTGATAGCAACATACCTCTCGCCTAGGAACACATAACGCAGGGGGCAAAATGAAGGCATCTTTGACTGTTTTGCTTGGCCTTGTGGCAGAAAGGGCGATAGCCCTGCCGGCGCCAGCGCCAGCACCGGTCCCAGTTGCCAGTCCCGTCTTGGAAGACCGTGCGGCCCAAGCTACTGTCTCTATATCACCATCTGCAACTGTCATCGGAAATACAGCCTCTGGAGTAGAGTCATTCAAGGGAATCCCTTTTGCAGACTCGCCAACTGGATCGCTAAGGTTAAAGCCTCCTCAGAAGCTGTCTACTGCACTCGGGACCTTTGACGCAACTGGCTCGGCCCCATCATGCCCCCAGATGTTCTTCTCCACAGGTGGCAACGACTTGATCACTCAGGTGTTGGGAGACTTACTCAATACGCCCTTGTTTCAGACTGTGACAAATCAACAAGAGGACTGTCTCACAATTGATGTTGTCCGCCCGGAAGGTACAGAAGCTGGGGCGAACCTTCCCGTGCTCTTCTGGATCTTTGGCGGCGGCTTTGAGGTGAGAGTTCTTCCAATGAAAATCTAAGTAAGTCGGAACACTGACAAAATGATTAGCTGGGATCATCTAGCATGTACGATGGTACATCCCTACTCTCCGGTGCCATATCACGCGACATGCCGTTTGTTTTTGTCGCCGTCAATTATCGCGTGGGCGGCTTCGGTTTTATGCCTGGCAAGGAAATCCTGGCTGATGGCTCGTCGAACCTGGGCCTTCTGGACCAGCGTATGGGCTTGGAATGGGTCGCTGATAACATTGCCGCATTCGGAGGTGACCCTACAAAAGTCACGATTTGGGGTGAATCTGCAGGAGCGATCAGCGTCTTTGACCAGATGGCCCTTTACGGAGGCGATAACACCTATAATGGCCAACCTTTATTCAGAGGAGCCATCATGAATTCCGGAAGTATTGTTCCAGCAGATCCGGTCGATTGTCCCAAGGGACAAGTGGTTTACGACACGGTAGTTGAAGCGGCCGGCTGCTCAGGAGCAAGTGATACCCTGGCATGCCTGCGGGGTGTGGACTACGACACGTTCCTCAACGCTGCCAACTCAGTCCCCGGGATTCTGAGTTATAACTCTGTTGCCTTATCATACCTGCCCCGTCCCGATGGAACTGTTCTCACGAAGACACCAGATGAACTTGTACAGACCGGAGAGTATGCTGCAGTACCTATGATAATTGGTGACCAGGAAGATGAAGGAACACTGTTCTCGCTCTTCCAGTCAAATATTACTACGACTGACAAACTAGTTGACTATTTATCTTCTCTGTTCTTCCACGGAGCTACGAAGGAACAACTCCAACAGCTAGTGGCTACCTACGACGCATCCATTACTGCGGGAAGTCCCTTCCGAACTGGGCTATTCAACGAGGTCTATCCAGGATTCAAGCGAATTGCTGCCTTGCTGGGTGATCTGGTGTTCACGCTGACTCGACGCGCTTTTCTGTCTGCTGCACAGGCTGTGAATCCTTCCGTTCCTTCCTGGAGCTACCTCTCGAGCTACGACTATGGTACGCCAATCTTGGGAACATTCCACGGAAGTGATCTATTACAGGTGTTTTACGGAATCTTGCCCAATTATGCAAGCGCTAGTATTCAAACTTATTACGTCAACTTTGTCTATAACTTGGATCCAAATGTCGGCGCAGGAAGCTATCCGAACTGGCCGCAATGGTCTGCGGGCAATCAGCTCATGCAGTTCTATAACATTGCCTCTACGCTTCTGAAAGACGACTTCCGGTCAGGCACCTACGATTGGATAGTGAATAATATTGCAGTCTTGCACATTTGAAGGACCCGGGTCGAGAAACTCTGCGCAAGTCTAAAACTGATGCCTCTGTATATATCGCTGGTATCTGGTCCTATGCCACGGCAATAGACCTACATAGGCTCAATATATTGAGACCATGTTAATAATGTTAAGCAATTTTTATGATATGAATGCCAACGTGAACAATTGGAGCACTACATATCTACCTAAGCCCAGCCCATCTCTTCACAGTTAAAAAGTGTCCGTTGCCAGCCGCTCAGGTCATTCTTGTCGATATGTGTCCAATGGGGATAGACTGCTGACAGTGGAGGTAGTTGGCCACCATGGACAAAACTCGCCAAGAGGTTCGTTGGCTTTCAAAGAGAACATGGGTCTTTCTGAGCCGCTTTGTTCCTCGTCAATTCGCAAATCATCTAATGTGTAGGATTACCCGAGGCTGGTTCTTGATGTTATGTTTGGAATAATTCAACGGGCTTGGGCATACAAACAGGGAAGCTCTTCTGGGTACGCTATGTGCGAAACTCAATAGGCGATTCGACGTTGCAGCTAGTGTAGTGAGTAAAAGAGCTTGTATTGAGACCCTGCTGAGCGTAACGGAGCATGCCATTAGACAGGGACTAATCAATCAAAGCTGGTGCGGCTGAACATAAGGTTCGCTGTAATATCACCCCTGACATCAAATGCGGACCTTTCAGCTAGGCAGTGCTTACCTACTCACCTGTGATTGGGCACAGTGAACATTCTCCACGCCTGGAGACGGTGGCGAGGTATCTCCAGGTGTATGGATCGTAAAGGTAGCTGTCAAATCTGGACCCCCCAGAAATCGTCAGTATATCCGACTGCGTATTGTGTTTGAATGACTTTGTAAGGTGTGAAGGAAAGCTCATTACATTTGAGTTCGCCAGTCATAAAGATGCATAATTGTCACGCAAGTATGAGCTTGGCAGAGGCTGTTAAGTCAAGGCCAGTTTATATTGTGCATTGGGGGCCAATTTACAGTACATGTCTAGTAGCTACAGTCGCAGTCTAGACAAAAGTTACCCCTGCTTCTGCGTGTCTCAACGTTCTCACGTCAGCACTCTCAATCATGGCCACCTCTCATGATCCTAGACCGTTCGTGTGATGCTTGTTCGCTGTAGCTCACCTATTAGAATTGACGTTGGCACGAATCAAGGCTCTCGACGACCGAAGTGTTGCCGCTCCGCCTCAACGCCAGTGCGACAACAAGCTACTACGTTTCACTGACACATTTCGTGAGAAAATAAATGAAAGACTAATCTAATCCAGGTAGAGTTTTGGCACAGCGTATTTAAAGCCGCGTGCTGATCCGCCCACAACCACTGTTTTGGGCTGACTCCTGAGGACACAAGACCAAGTAGTTTCCTGATCGAGTGTAATCGATTCTTTGTCGTGTAGTATGCCATTAACACACGCCTACGCCTGCTAGTATTTGATTGGTCGTGCAGAGACATTACAGCTGCTATATTTGTATCCCGTGTGCAACGTTGTCAACTGAGGGGCTGTGCCTGCATAAATTGACAGAAGGGCTCAGCACTGTGTAACGAACTTCACTAGCAATGACTGGTCGCCCTCTTCCGCGAGAGTCGAAGCTGAGGGTGATCAGAGTATATATATATATATATTGACTAAAATCACTTTGGAAACAAGATACAATTTTGTATGTGATATCCATCGATCATTGCTTGTGTACAAAGTGGTCTCTTCTTTTCTATCAATATGCATCGTGCCCTGTTATTACTGCTTGCTCCCTTCCTTTTAATTGGAGGATCTGGTGCTGTGAGCATCCCTGCAAATGTTCAAAATTTCTACAACTCTCTCAAGTCGAAAGGCAGCTGTACAAATAAGCTCGCAACTGGGTTTTATAGCCTAGATGGGGGTTCAAACTGTGGGTGCCATTTCTGATATGCTGGCTGAATTTGTCGATTGATACTTTATACCTAGCCTTCTCTTACTGCGGTGACCACATCAGTGACTATAATGTCGTGTACCTTCAGGGTACAAACGGCGAATTCGCCAACATGGATATTGACTGTGACGGAAGACAAGGCGGCCCTGCGGACGATGGTCGCTGTGGGAGCTCTGGAGATACTCAATCAATGACATCTTTCATGGACACAGTAGCCAGTTATGGAAAGGGCATTAGCGACCTAGATGCCAATGTCCATCCATACGTCGTATTTGGTAACGAGGGGACCAAGGCTGGATGGAAAACGTTCAATCCTCAGTCCTATGGCATAGAACCTTTGAGCGTTATGGCTGTCGTCTGCAACAACCAGCTGGTATGTCTAGTGTGCTTAGCATTTGGAAGATACTCTAACTTAAATGACACCAGATCTACGGCATTTGGGGCGACGAAAACGGCGATGACGGCGACCACCCAATGATTGGTGAAGCATCCATATCGTTGGCAACTGCATGTTTTGGGAAAGGCGTGAATGGCAACAGTGGACATGATGGCAATGATGTTCTTTACATTGCATTCCCTGGCAGTGACGCTGTTCCCGGGAAAGACGGAGCGAACTGGGCTGCCAGCAACTTCGCTTCTTTCGAGAGCAGTATCCAAGCGCTCGGCGACAAGCTCGTTCAACGAGTCGGCTCGACTACCGGTGGTGGTGACCCCGGGAGTGGCTCAGGGAGTTGCTCCTGGGCGGGTCACTGTACTGGTGCCAGCTGTTCTAGCGCCGACGATTGTTCTGATGATCTGGTATGTAACAGCGGGACTTGTGGACCTGCCGGAGCTACGCCGCCTGCTACAACTTGCAGTTGGGCTGGTCACTGTGCTGGTGCTTCTTGTACAAGCGCGGACGATTGTTCGGACGACTTAACTTGCAAGGGTGGCAAATGTGCCTAAGAAAGGATGAGACTGCTTTTGCAACTGTACATAGCCAAGAGAATTCACGTGTATAATATGTTTTAAAAGCCTCGAAAGATCAGCTTTGCTATGGCGAGCAATGGCGGTGTAAAACGGAAGGTGGTACGAAAGTTTGACTACATCTCCAAACGCAGATATCCGTACTGTGAGCTGCTATTCCAGAGTTATAGGCCTCAACGAGAGCAGAAACACATGTGTCAAGAGCTGGACAGTTTATGCTGTTCCGGCCGCGTCCGTTCCTTGCTTAGTGTTTCACTGCACTAAGGTATGCGTAGATAAGAATTACCATTATTCGGATATAAAATGTAGGGTATATAACACTTCTCCTTACTGCAAGATTGCAAACGCCCAATCCGTTGTTGCTTTATGCGACTTCCCCAAGCTGTTTTTCATCCAGCAGCGGTGATCACTGCCCGTATCACCGGCGATGACTCCCCATCCACAGCCCGTGCATCCAGGGAAACCGGCACAATTGTCCATACACTCTTCCATAGTAGCAGTCAGTACGTGGGCAAGATCCACCGCCTCTCCCGTCCCACTGTAATCGATACCGCATGTTCGCAAAAATGTCTTGTCGGAGCCTGGCACACTATATATCGTATTATTGCCGGTAGGACAGTCTGTTGATGCGGAGGCTGTAGCACTTGCAGAGGAAGAAGATTGGGTCGTTGACGGAGAGACCGTAGGGGACGGTACGGTCGAGATGGCGCCAGACGAAGACGCAATTGGCGTACTATGAATAGTGAGCTTCAAGATCCGGGGCCAATTAGCTAGACATGAGTTGCTGACCTTGTAGATGTATTTGCGTGGCTATCAGAGACGTGCCTTCCGACGCCCACGCCGACACCTATACCAATCGCGATGGCCAGAATCAAAAAGAATATGACAGGAATGACGACCCATAGCAATCGTCGTTGTATACCGCAGACTCTCTCTGATTTAACACCTTGATCATCCGATTGAGGATATGCAGCAGACGAGTCTGGCATGGACGGTGTCGCAGCGCCCCATGCTCCAGAGAAGGTCTTCTCGCGGCCATCATCAGGTGGTGGTGGCGTGCCCTCACGATAGAAGGTATACTGGGATGGATTGATGTCTTCCGAATAGTAGACTTCAGGCGCATTCGCTCCATTGTCACCGGTTGCGGCGGGCGGATGGTAGACTTCTAGCCCTGGTTGCTCCTCTACGAGCGGTCGGTGGGAGGCGTGGGAAGATCCGTGGCGATGCGACGGTCCATTGCGATACGAGTCCATTGATCTCTTGGCTAGCTCTCGCCGCCGACTCCCATCTCGGGGCGGAGATGGTCCTCGATGCCAATTGATACGCTGGGGGCTCGATTGCGCCGAAGCGCTCTTGAGATTGTCGAGTTGAAGCGTGGAGAAGCTATGGAAAAGGAGCCGAAGCCCAGGCTCTCGGATCCTCTGCTCTTAACATCTGCTTGTAATTTCGCGAAGTCACTGGAATGGCTGGTCTTTGCCCCTTTGGAGCCTAGCCCGTCAGTAACCCTGGTCTCGCCAGGTGGTATTACAGGGAACTCAAAAGGCTGGATTCATTGTGATCTAAAATCACTTCTGCTAGGGAAATCGCTGATAACATAAGGTAATTCCTGCTAAGAACGGGTATCAGGGCCGTAGATAAGAATTGAAACCGTCCCACCTTCAAGTAGAAAGACTCCTGGGATCCAGTCGGAACGGGGCGACATGTCTCAGACAGTCCTCCGTAGTGGGGATGCGTTAGTTACCCCAGAGCTCCTCATGTCTCTCAGACGCTGGTATCCACCGATAATTGGATTGACCACAGTCTTTTGCGCAGAAGCATTGATTTACGTTGGAACAAATCAGAGAGAGGTCATTTTTCAAAACATTGGTCCTTTACACAATCACTCATCTATAACCAAGTGAGTAAAATACACTAATCGTAAAAGTTAGGTATTTAGCTGTAAAAGACAGTCGCTGAGCAAGCCAAGCAGCCACCAATCACCCCAGTCAGCGTATTGTACAGGCTATTCCGGCTTCCTTCCATATACGACTCGGTGTCGATACCAAGAATGCACATTCTTGTCACGCAGCTGTCGCCTCAAGTGGGCGATAAATACATGCGTTTCCTCCGGAGACCAACCCATCACAGCATTCCACATATAGAGGACGTATCCTAGTATTTATGAGCCTGCCGACCTCGGAAAGGGGTATTTCATAGAAAAGGTACGTACCTTCGACATCAGACTCGAGAACCAACTTGGCATATTGCCCGATCTCTCTCAATGTAGGATCCGATGGCCAGCTGCCAATGGGACACTAGTATATGGTTGTTAATGGCCTTTCAAAGCGGCTGGTTGCAAGACAGTCTGATCTGTACCTTGAATTCCCATACAGTGACATCAACAAATCCTGCTTCTTCCATGTACTTCTTCTGGATGTCATCTTCGACTACACGAAAGGTTCGACCGAATTTGCTTCCACCCTCCCAGAAAACTTTCGTCCATTGATCAAAGGGGCTGCCAGGAAACACAGAGCCATCGTCGCTATCAATTTTGATGGAGTTTTCGTAGTCTTCAAAGTATCCACCTGGCTTACAGCATCGGAAAGCCTCCTGGTAAAGGGCTTTCCAGTCAACGATAGAGCCGAACATTGCGCGCATGTGAATGTAATCAAAAGTATTATCGGGCCATGTCCAGTACTCATTGGCGTCATCCAGCTGGAATTCGAGATTCGGGGGCACCCAACCGGGTTGAATTGGCGACAGATCCGTACCGATGACCTGGCACTCGGGGAACTCGTCTGCAAAGTCACTGACATATGTTAGTGCAATTTAACAAAAGGCTCGGTTGTAACAATTTCTGGTCTTACATGGCCCAAATGCCTATGAAAGATAACTAGTTAGTGTCTTGCGGAGAAATTGAACCATGTCTAAAACGAGCTCACCTGTGCCACATCCAATGTCAACCGCTTTCTACAACGTACATCAGCTTCTAGACCACCATAGAGAAGGAGATTTGTTTACCGTTATGCCTTCCTTCAAGGGGGCACGATATAGCTTGCCATCCAAAGCAAGCGTGCACATGTGATGGCTTCGGGTGTTAGCTGAGAATGATGCGAATTTGTATTGCTCTCCTGATAATTGTCTTACTGGATATCCATAGACTCATTTTGTTGCTCATCATTGGGAATCCTGCTGCCAAGTTAGTACTAGTGCAGGGCATAGAAACGTGAACGAGGACAACAGACCAAGACTGAGCCTTTCCCATCTCACTATGGTAGGTTCGACCATGGATTGTCCGGTATTCAAGGATGCTTGCGCCTAAAGACGCTGTGGTGCTGGCGGTGTCTCCGAATGCCGAATCAGTCTCGTCGTCCCGCTGCTCTTCGGGTAACTAAAACGCCGGGATTCAATTAGAACTGAAATGCCTGTAATTGCTCGCGTTCTGAGCAAGGCGGGCGGGGAGGTCGTACAGGCTCTTGGGCCCAATGCGATGCGGGGAGAATGCCGCTGGGCGGTGAGACTGGCTCAGCTGCCGTCGTCTCCACCGTCTCGGGGCCGGACATCGGCGCCGGCTCTGGCGATCTTTCTGGGTCGGCCATGGCTGCAGTGTACCGGTACCATCAACAATGCCCAAGCAGGAGAAGATAGGGAGGAAGCACTTGATTACGTGTTTGCGCGCGTGCTGCTCTCTGAGTCGTGTCTACAGGACGGTTGCGAGTGAGACAAACCACATCTCCACGCCCGCACACTGGGAATGTCTGATTGCTGGCATGCTAGCACCAGTGGCGCTGGCATCAGGGCATCAGGGTCCGTCTCCCCGAGCTTAGGCCTAATGTGGATTTGCCAGGGACTCACTTTAGTGCCTCGGGAGCAGCCGCGAAGGGCATCTCCTCCGGTCCAACACTACTTCCACTAGAAATACAGAGCTCTACCATACTTTGAAAAAAAAAAAAAAAAAACACTATTCTTGGTGTTCAACCTGGTTCTTTATTACTATGTAATAAACTACGTAGTATCGAGTTCTGACTTTATAATATCTTGACATTTGTCTGGGAACTGTGACATGGGAGATATAATATGGACAGGATGAGCGATTGTTGAGCACCCTACTCGGGGCATTAAGTGGATCTGCCATTGCTTTTTCTGACGGTGTGGAGTGATTGGACATGCAGGCTGACGTAAGAACGTTCAAATAGAGTCTTTAGGCGCTTGATACAGTCAGGCATTGGATGAAGAGGCAGCTTGGATCTCTCATGGTGCTAGAGATAGATCTTGAAGGCTCAGCTTTGTCATCTTTGTAACTAGTGTCAACGACAGATTGAGACAGGAGCCTCTAAGCTTTCACATCATTTAGTACCATTAGCACATCTTTGCAATAGTGTGTGAACTACTTGCCATGTTCTCGGAAGCTTTTCATTGTAGCTATATTCTTCAGACCAGGTCAATAGCATAGTTGGTGGACGACCTTGTCACCATCACTTTCAATTTCAAACTGTGATGTGGGAGTCAAAGATGTCTTGTCGTTTTGTTGTCGTGGCCATAGTAACGGGCGAATTGTGAGTTTTGCCCATACTCAGAACGTCCATCAGCACGATTGCAGTGATGCCTGAGTGGCGGGTCTACGAAATCGCTCTTAGAGGCATGTCGGGAGATTACTTACCGGGAATATCCAAGCACTGTATGAAGTATATTAGCCTCTTCGACGCTGGGTGTGGTTCCGCTGCACTGCCCTATCAAAATGTAGCATTGATTTTGGCTGCATGATGGGGTCGCTTTCCAAGCCTTACCCTACGTTACTAAGTCAGTGGTAATGCCGTCTGGAGCTTCTCCGAAAACTCATGCAGGTGGCCGTGTTCCCAGACAAAACAGACAGGAACTAGACACCTTCATAATGAGTAGCACTGTGAGATACGACGTTCCATCAGTGACTGGTGTCCAAAATAATGATGTTCTTCTCCTTTTCAGAATATACGTTCGTGATGCTCCTCCCTTTGATTTTGCTCATGCGTTACTGGCATAAATCTTCGTGATTGTAAGTCTATTTACCCGCCACTTTCCGCCTTCAATATCCTCGCATTTATTACGCCTGGCCCCGGATTGGGTTAAACAAGGGATGATCTATGAGACTACGGCAAGTGTTCTGGGATCTCGCTCTTTGTGGTGGGCGTCTACTTGCGGTTATTGACCTTAAGATTGCCGGCGCCTAGCTGCGAATGTTCTGTCATAGGTTATAGGTAGAATCTCATGCTGCCTTATTCATTAACTCACGCTCGGAATTTTTGCGTCTCTACTACTTGATTTCGCACATTTTTGAGACTTTACAGCCATAGTGTGTGACAGACATGTCATTGCTAAGATAGTGAACAAGCACAAAGCGATTGTCTGGTCGTGAGCCGCATATCTTCGAGGCGCAGAAATCCCCAAAGCTTCGCGAATAATGATGATCTCGTTCGCCTTATTTTTTACATTGTTTGTTCTCTGCTTCGCAACAGACCTACAAACCCCATATGAGCAATATGATACAACAAACCAAGCCGCACCTTTAGATACCCGCGGCCGGAAAGGAGTGGGAGGGAGACCTCGCAAAGGTCGAGGATATCTGGCAATGGGCATGAAGAGAACAAGAGTGAATTGTACGGGACGCTATCATGACACCAGGTGGAGGCATCACAAGAATGGTGTGAGTCAACGAGGATGGGACTGGAGCCCCTTGGAAGAGTACCAAGGAATGATCTATCTTATAGAATGTGCGTATTTCAACCTGGCAGAATGCTAATAGATCTAATATGGGGGTGCAGTGGAAATCGGAACGCCACCTCAAGCAGTAAAAGTTTTTGTTGACACAGGTTCTTATGAGTTGTGGGTCAACCCCAAATGTCAAAACTCGCCTGACCCAAATCTATGTCGTAGCTATGGGCTCTATGCCCCAAAAAGCTCGACCACGTCTAGCTATGTCGGCGGCAATTTTGCTGTAAGCTACGGAACTGGTGCCGCGAAGGGAACATACTACTCGGATACGATGCTTGTGTCAAGTGAGGGCTCTCTTGACTGATCGACATGCCGCCTGGGTTTGCTGACCATTTGAAGTGCTTCAGGTACCATCCGTACAGTTCGCGGTCGCCGAGGATACAAACTATACTTGGGCAGGAATCATGGGCCTAGGGTATACCTACCCTATCACAACAAAATACCCGACACTCCTCAACATGATGGTAGCTAGCGGTTATATCGGTTCACCCATCTTCAGTATTGGGGTTGGCGGTGAGGGAGACGGATTTAGCGAGATAATCTTTGGAGGAATCAATAGATGGAAATACAGTGGAAAGCTCGAGCCGGTTTCTGTCTGGCCACCGATTTCTAAACAAGATCCTAACTGGGTTCAGTACTGGGTTAATGTCACCTCCTTCGGCGTGAAGATGCCTGGACAGACTGGACTCAGCTTCACTCCTTCCACATTTAGCATGCCGATGATAATCGATACTGGTTCGACACTTTCATATTTTCGTGAGGACCTGGTCGCCAAAATTGGGCAGCAATTTAGTGCAACTGTGGACAATCAAAATACATACTGGGTCGATTGCGCCTGGAGGAATAAGAATGGAACCGTTAATTTCGGTTTCAACAATGGAAAGATGGTCATCAGCATTAGATTCAAGGATTTCATCTACGAACAATACGCTGGACATTGCCAGCTGGGAGTTCAACCTGCGGATATTGACAGCACAAATTACGTCCTTGGTGATACTTTCATCAGGGGCGCCTATTGTAAGTGACCACATCATACGGGAGACGGAAGCATTCAAAACTTAACCTTCTGCAGTGGTGTTCGATCAACAATCCAACGTGATTTGGATGAGTCAGTACTACAACTGTGGCGATGGAGTTGTCACTGTAGGACTTAAGCCTGGAGATTCGCAGCAGGTCACAGGAGCCTGTTGATACAAGCTACGAATACCTAATGACTTCGATAGGTCTAGTGATATCAGCACAACTGGACCCTAGATCTGCTACAATGACTTCCGAGCTAGCCTATGGCGACATAAGGTACCCTTGTTTTTTTCCCTTGCACCCCTGGGAGTGTCTTACAAAGACGGTCAATAATCCCTGCTATCTACGGTAAACGATTGAAACAATCAAGGGAGATATATTGGATTTCATTCATCGGTAGTTTCACGCGGCTCCAGTTCGAATGTCTTCGCTCAGGATCCCCTGCCTCGTCCAGATGTTCATGCCGATTTTGGTCCCCGTTGTCAATGGCAGTCCAGCATGCAGTGTCCTCTCGTCGCCAGTGCCATCGGAAAACAAGTTATCCCAGTACACTGCATTGCCCTCCTTTGGTCGAAATGTTACGCCATTCTCCCAAGGCTCATCGCAGTCGATAACACTGCACCATCTATCATCTTTGGGGGCAGGTATTCGGGGGAAATTTGTCCCGCCCCCTGTAGTATCATTTGTTACGAGAACATAAGCGAAGAATGAGGAGGCTCGATTGCCTCCGTATGCAGCAGTTGCGTGGCTCGGGTTTGTGAACCAGTCAGTGTGAAAATGGTACTGCTCGCCGGCTCCGTACTTCACAAGCTGAAGTGGCTCTAGCTGCGACCGACTAATATCATACCCTTGGAAGGAGAGTGCCCGGTCCTCGATGCACTGGACCACATCATCGCTATCGACAGATGTTGAATGAGAAGTCCGGACCTGATGGACGGTCTGACCACCCGAGTTGTCAGTCACCGCTGAATGTGCAAATGTGTCCTTCCTGTGTACTCGATCAGCAATCATTCCAGAGCGGAAAGCTTAGAAAGACAGACGTAACCAGCTGAAGATGCTCCCGTTCTTTCTGGGTAATGAAATTGTTGATGTACAATACCAATGGTGATTTCGAGACCATCTGAACTGTGTATGGTGGGTGCTCGCAAGTAAACTCCTCTGATAGCGGGTTTTGGGAAGCGGCAGCTCCCAAGCCACTACCCACACCAATTGCAAGACCGACAGCTGCAAAACCCCACATAGCTTTGTCGAAATCCTGCGATCGTTTCTTTCGGAATGCGTTTTGCTCTACTTGATTTCTAACTGATTATCGT